TTATATTATTGTGGTTTTGATTTGCATTTCCCTGATGACTAGTGAGATTGAGCACTTTTCATGTACTTATTGACCATTTGTATATCTTTAGAAAAATGTCTAATTAAGTCCTTTGCCCATTTTTTAATGATTATCCTTTTTTTTTGCTATTGATTTGTCTGCATTCCTTATATATTTTGGATATCAAATATATGGTTTGTAAATATTTTCTCCTATTCTGTTGGTTGTAAATATTTTCTCCTATTCTGTAGGTTGCCTTTTTATTATATTTTATAATAATTATTAAACATGTTTTAAAATATTCTAATTCTTAAAATTTTTGACTATATCTCTTTTACTCGTTGTTAAATGAAATAAGCTTCTTTTTTCCCCCATAAGATGTAGATACACACTGGAATCTCAAAACATTGTGCAAGCATGAACACACATGTTTTCAATTTTGAAGTATCATACAGTTTATTTCTTTGGTTAGTTAACTACCTATTAATTGAGCTAATAGCAGATGTATTAGTAAGAATCTTTAACTCAAATCAACGTAAGAAAAACAAAGGGAGAGTTATAACTTCATGTAATTAAGATTCTAGGGGTAAATAAGTCCTACTTCAGACACATCCTTGAATCCAGGGTGTCAAATTATGTCATTTACAGTCACTCCTGACTGCCCCTATCTTCTCTTTTTCTCCTCTCATCCTTTCCCTTGGTTCCACTGCCTTTTGTACATTGGTCTTGCTCTTCATGAAGATTGTTTCCTTCAGGGATATAATAATATGAGGTATGATTTTGGAATTATACTATTACAATCATGAATTATAATATACTTAATATAATTATAATCAATATGTAATATAATATATATTATCATATTAAGTAGCATTATATATTAATATTATATAAGCTATATACTAATAAATAATATAGTATTATATAAAATATATGCTATATACTAATATAATGTATACTTATTATATAAAATTTTCTACATGATTTAACATTGAATTATAAGCTTAATTTAATTAAATTATATTTTGAGAATTTCTTCATGCAACTAAGTTTTCTGTGGAAAATTTTAAATTAGGAATTAAATTTTTTAAATTAAATTTTAAAATTAAATTAAAAATTTTTAATTTAATTAAAAAAAATTTAATTTAAAAATTAAAATTTTTTTAAATGCTTAAGAAAACTCTATTATTAGAGGAACATTACTTTTTAAATTGAAATATGTTAACTTCTTTTTGGCTTATCCTTGACAGAGGCATCTTTTTTCTAATGAGTAGATTTCAGATGAATGTAGAGGCTGAAGAGTAATAATATGCCATTCTTTGTGTATGAAAATGGCAGTCCTGACCTGCCATTAGTCGGGGTACTTATGGCTATGATAGATTTTTCTGGATCCACCTGTTTTCCCTTCCAGGCACCCCAGGCTTCTCAGAATGAAAGACGTAATCGGTGGCCTCAGAACAGAGCAACGCTAATGAGGATAACCCTGACCTCATGAGAATAGTGTTCTGACCCCCTGACCCAAACGGAAATAGAAAAGCTTGTGCAGTACATTTAAGAGTAACTTTGGGATTAGTTCTATGAGTATAAAGATAAATGAGAAAATAAAGTCCACTCACAAGCAGAGAGACTTGGATAATTGTGTGATATTTGAAACAAATCTTAAACTGAAAACTATTACACTCGTAAGTTGAATTTACATTATCATTCCTTTTAACTAACATCACAATTACCTTTCCTTTAGTATTTCCTTAGTTAATAAGAACCCAATCTTATTATAATAATTAAGGCTACTAAAAATGCTTTAAGCCTTTTTCTTTTTAAAGATGCATTTATTATCTTTTTATTAAGTTTATTTGAAACATATACAGAAATTGTCCTATTTTTAGAAATTTTGAAATATTATTTCCATCAATTGAAATATATTTAGATTATAAATGAATATTGTCAAATAATTCTTTTGCACTAGATATCATGAAAACCCTTTTCAACCTATAATTAGACACTTACCATGCAGCTTATCTTTATTAAAACTGATCGTTCTGAATTATTATCTTGAATCTGTTTTACTACAATCCTTGCATATAAATTCATTAATAATATAATTATCTGATGGTGTATGGGAGCTCTACTAATAATATTAGAAATTTAAAATGTACTAACTCTAGAAACAAATTATGTAAAAAGATAGAGTGAAATTATTGTTTATCTTTTTTTACTTTGGTAAGAGACAAGGTTAATTTTTGTAATAAATCGTAGGGATTTAGATGCCGTATGTTTGTTGGTCATTGAAATAGCAAAAGGAACTCTGAGCTAGTCTGAGGAAAAAAACAGAATCCTTATTTTTCTCTTTAAAAAAATAAAACAACAACTGCCCCAATGAGAACTGGTTGCACCAATCCACTATTTGTCTGATTCTTTTTTTTTTTTTTCCACAAAAGGCAGCTTCAGCTCTGGATTGCCAAACAGTCTGAAAGAAACACACTTTTTGACTGTTGGCATCAACTTTCGGATAAGACATAAAACCAGAGTCTTGGTACTTTCTGGAAGAGTTGAGGCACTAACTCCATTGTCCTGGCCAAATTCCAATTTGGGTAATTGCATTCTGCTTCTTTAAAGGCCCCTGGTTGGTTCAGTTCGATAAGAAACTCTTCACTTCCTGCTTGAACAGTTACAGAATGTGGCAGCGCTCTGGGAAATGGTTGTGGGGTTTACTCTTAAGGTAGGTGAATGTCAACACTGCAACACATGCACACACACTCACACACACAAATATGTGAATGGTGAATAGAAATCCCCATGTGAAAGGTGTGCTTCTGCACACATCTACATTTTCATAAAGCCAGATCCCATTGTAAGACCTATACCATGGAAAGAGGGTCTCTGTCAGTACACAAAAATGATTCTAGTCATTGAAGAAGACACTGATTATTTAATTTTTAAGATCCAATTATATTATAACTAAAGCCATAATACCCAAAATAAAATAATAACTTATTAGAGGAGAATATGTTGCCTTCCCCATCTTGTGGCTCTAGGGAGAGCCCAACTGATAAACACATTATTGAGACTTACATTAAGAAAGCTTCGACACATGTGCAGCAATTTTTTAAGAAGATTTCCAGTAACCTCTAACTACTTCAGGTTGCTATTCACAATAAGAAGAGCAGAATTTTAGAAGTCTCCCTAAAGAGAGTAATAGCAGGATTTAGTTCCTAGTGGATTACAGCCCACATTATGAAACTACTGCACATTTGGCACAATTATGCACCACTGGCAGCCTTTTCTCAAAGGAAGCCTCATGTTAAATGAACACTTAGAATCATTTTGGAACTCATGCATCTTGCAGCTGACACTGTGCTAAGTTAAACATCTACCACTCTGCCCATCTGGTAGTGAGAGAATATCAGGGCTGCAATATCATCGGTCCGTTCCCCTTAAAAGCTTTGATTTCATTAAAGGTGAACTATCAAAGTGCTTTAGAAAATGAGATACTCTACAAAATGTGCTGAATAGGACAGAGGGCCATTCAGTACATAGAGTCCTGTCTTACCCATTGTTGTTTTTAAGGTTTCCCAGCATCATGCAGGTTGGCTGTTTTTCTGCTTTGGTGTCGGTCTTGTGAAGTCAGTATAGAAGTTATTCAGTGGGCCCTGCAGGGTTGAGGAAAGTACATTTGCAATAAGATGTACTGGCCATTACTCTCCAGAGTGTCATTGGGATGGAAGATTTTCAGAAGAGAATTTGGAAACCTCAGAAACAAAATGTGGGCTTCAGTTCCCTTCCAGAACTAAACATTCAAGGAACTGAATTTCAAAAGATGAATATGAGATTATTTCATACTGTCATGACCCTCACCACAAAAGTGTGCTTTACAAACTCTGCCACAAATATTTTACAAAAATATGTAACCACACGACTGCATACCATGAATTCTGGTCCCAGCCATCTTGTAATAATATCTATTTGAAACATGGTTACAAAATGTGAATCAAGCAAGTAAGACTGCTGAAAAGAAAACCAATTAAGCAAAGTTCAAATTGACTTTTACTTATCAAAAAGCCTCTGGAGCTACTGCTCAAAGTTGATTTATTTCATGTATTTTATTGAAATAATTTATTTGTGTTTAATTCACAATGCCCTGGACTTAGTTATCCAGCTTCAAAGTCAAAATTAGAAACAGGAAATTACAACAGGTGCTGTCAGTGCACAGTCTATGAATATTAGTGGAAAGTGATATTGTTCAAAATTTCAAAAACTCTAGCAGCCTGTCATTTTCATGATTTCTTTTGCCTACAGTAGATTCCAGGAAGGAATAATGTAAAATAATCTTGGCCACCATACTTTGTTTTTTTCTTATGTTAGTGTGTTAATTTTCAAAATACAGAGTTGGAATTGTCATACTGGTTTACATATGTTGTACTCATAACTTTTACTTTCAAATTTCTATTTGGATTATTAGTCTGTTTCTTAGTTTACCCAACCATTCAATAAAGCTAGTAATCATTGTTTCATAGAAATAGATAAAGGGAAAGTTGAACTTTATATTTCAACATATCCTGAGCTTATCACTATCTTATATAACAATATCTTCATTTAGGTTGAGTAAAATAAAACTAATGATCCTAACTGAGGAAACTACATTTCAAAATTCAGGAGGCTGTTTATATTTTAGACATATTTTCATTTGAATTAAAGTAAAATTTTAAATGTTGATAAATTCATGGTGAATTTTCCATTGTTCTGAGAGTGAGTTTACCCAGAACTTCAAAATCCTCAGGGGCTCTAAATAGCTTATATTATACTCAGTAAAATATTTTGGTTCCATTTGCTTCTTTTTTTTTTTTTTTTTTTTCGGTACGCGGGCCTCTCACTGTTGCGGAGCACAGGCTCCGGACGCGCAGGCTCAGCCGCTCCGCGGCATGTGGGATCTTCCCAGACCGGGGCACGAACCCATGTCCCCTGCATCGGCAGGCAGACTCTCAACCACTGCGCCACCAGGGAAGCCCTCCATTTGCTTCTTATTCCTTCAGTAGATCCCAGGAGAGTATAAAGTAAAACAAAACAAAACATGGTCACCACAGTTGTTTGCTTTTCCCTTATATTCATGTATTAATTTTCAAACTACAGACAAAATTACAAGCAGGTTTTAATTTATATTGTATCCATAATTTATTTATGTTGTAATATATTTGTCTCATTCAACATTTTGATTTCAAATCTTTTATTTGTGTTTGGATTATTAATTCTACTTTTTTGCCTTATGAATTCCTCATTTAATCTCTTTTTCCAAATTAAAACACATATTTATATTACCATAATTATAAAAATAATTCATAAATGCATGCTCACTGTATATATTTTAACAATCAGGAATTTAATAAAAGAATAAATAAAAGTCCCTTTTAACCCTCTTTATCCTCATTAAGTAGTCACCAGTCAAGGGACTGCCAACATGTACCTTCCAGGATTTAAGAGTTCTGTGACCCACTGATTAATCTGGGCCTCTCTTTTCAGTCCATTTTGAATGAGTGTTTATAGTGGTTATCTATCTGGCGCATGTCCTGCCATTGTATATTGGTAGTCTTGGGAGCTGATAACTTGTCTATTTAGTTTAGTGTTTGTTTAATCTGTAAAAACTATTCTCAAGGAGCTGATACTTGCAAATCACACACTAAGAAGCCTGATATGCAACTGAACATAATTTAGGTTTTGAACCTGAACCTGAAACCATAATAGGATAAGATTTTGGGGGCCTTGTAGATTTTTTTACATGTGGAATGAATGTGGATTTTATCACCAGAAGGGAGACTGTGGCAGATTGTACTTTATAAAATCAGCCACAGTAATACTTCTGTCCCCACAGAATTTTCCAGAACCTTGTCAATCCTCCTTCAAGAAGTACAGTCTATTTCCCATCTCTTTGAAATTGGGTGGAACTTTGTGGTTGCTTTAATTTAATAGAATGTGGTGGAAAGTATGCTTCTTGACTTTCACTGGTACATCATAAAGTAATATAACTTCCACCTGGCTCTCTGTTTCTTGGGATGCTCACCTTTTGAATCCAAACACAATGTTGTGAGGAATCTCGGGCCACATCAAAACATCCTGTATAGGTGTTCTGCTTGGTAGCCTTAGCTAAGATACCAACTGACAGACAGTTACAGTTGCCAGACGTGTAAGTGAACAAGTCTTCAGACGACACTAGTTTCCAGCAATTAAGCCATCTTTGCTGATGCCAAGTAGAAGAGAGACAAGTTGGCCCTGCCAAGTCCTGCATAAATTAGAGACAAACATGTAAAGCAAAATAAAGTTTTTTAAGTCATTGAGTTTTGGATTTTTTTTTCCCACACAGATAAAGATAGCCAGAATAGACCACAAGCTATTTTAGATAGTTGATTAGAGAAGAAAGAAAATAAATCTGAGCAAACTTGACATGGCTTCATTTAGATGATTGATTTTGTTTATATAATACCTAAGTCTTAATAAACTGGCTTTGGGGATATTAGACTACTATAGTTGGTCCTTTTATTGATGCCACAGGACCAGAATAGACCAGACCCTTGTGTGTGTGTGGCGGGGGGGCGGTTTAGGAAGGGAGTTTCACCAAAAGGAAATGTATATTCACACTTTAAATTATACTATGAAGAGACTGATGCTGGGGCAGAAAATCAAGACTCAAGATGTGAATGAGTAAGTGAGTGAATGAGTGAGCAAGCAATTGAGTGAGTGAGTAAAAGGGAATATCTTTCTCCTCCCTTTATGGTCAGGAGTCACTTTGGCTCTGACTGACACACAAAGATGCCTGGAGCCCTACTGGTAGTAGTCTTGGGGTGAGCTGCCCCTTCCAGTGGTAAAGTTGAGCTTCCTCTTCAAGTAGTAGGGGTGAGATGCCTCTGGGAGCACCTGAACTTGTGCACTAGTCTCCATTTTGAGCTTCCCTTTCATTATTTCTAAACCACTAGCAAAGTTTCATGAAAAGTTATCTCCTGACCTTTGCACAATTAAGCCTATATAAAATCAAGGAAAAAGACCTATTCTATGCTTGAAAGAAGTAGATAAGAAGATGTCAGTGTTTGACACCAGAAGAGAGATGGTAATACTAGTCTCTTGTGAAAAGCGGTACATGGTAGACCAACCATCTCATAACGTTGATCAGAGGCAAAGGAAGCGTCTTGGTGGCATGAGGCAAAGATTGGGACTAACTAATCGGGAAGGCGGCACTCTAAGGAATGCTTGTGGAAAGCTAACTCACATCTGTTAATTCTCAGGGGAAACTTCCCATGCTATAACATGGAAACAGTATAAACACACCACTTGTTAGATATTTGACCTTTGGTAATAACATCTCTATGTCTCTCAATTTTCTATTAAGATTAGTGATATCTATCTCATGGAATTTGTATGGTAGGTAAATGAGGTACTATAAATGCATTGTTGAGAATTTCTTGTCTAACAAGGCATTAAATTCCTTAAATAAGTTAAATGTAACAAAATCATGAAGCACTCAGAAGAATATAGAAAGTAATTTTTTCTAATCTTGGATTTGGAAAGGATTGTCTAAACACAAAAAAAGAAGAAAAACACTAGCAAGAGGGAAAATTAATCTGACTTCCACCAAATTAAAAAAATATTTTTGATATTAAAAATTTAAAAGGAAAATAGAAGACACACCATCAAATTCGATAAGAGCTGAGTATATATAACTCACTTAAGATAAATATAAATATTTAATAAAGTACAAAAGTATGTTCAACCTCACTAATAAAGAAGTGAATTGCAAAATACTCCTATTAAGACTATTCCATTGGCAAATCCCAAATTTGGACAGAGTATGATGATACTGGAACTTTCTTACTTTGATGGAAGGATCATAAATTGATGACAACATTCCAAACTCTAGAACTGTTCTAGAATCTAGAGAATAATTTGACAATAAATAAAGAAAACTGAAAAATGGTACATAGGTTGAGCCAACATTTCACTTATAAGAAAGTAAGGAAATAAGCAGAGACACAGAAAAGATTTATATGCAGTGATTTTACAATATTTTAAATAAAAAATAGTACAAATTAGCCACAGTACAATATTTCAAATACATTATCAGTTCAATGGCAATATTACCAATATGGTATTACACTGCCATTGCAAACTATTTTAGTAATAGGATAAATTGTTAAGCAACAGATTTTTGAAAGAGAGTAAGTGACAAATAGAAGGAAAATATGGCACCATTCCAAGACATGCATGATAAAAAGACTGGAATAAAACATAAGATAAGAGTGATGGATTTGTAGGTAATTTCTGTTTTCTTCTTTAATTTTTCTATATTTTACAATTTTTTACAAAAATATATTATTTCTTCAAACTGGGAAAAAGATTTAAATATTATAATTAATAAGCATTTTGGAATAAAACACAAAAAAATAAAAATTTAAAATTTTCTCCTGTAAATACTTTGATTTATAGGTTAAGTTGCTATTTTAGTTGTTCCAGCTGAAACTTGTTCAGCTGGAACAACTGAAGGTCTTTTTGCAAGGTCCAACGGCCCCAAGTAAACTTACAATTCAAGGAACACAACTCATGAATAAGAAAAAAAAAAGGCGTTCAGCTGATAAATTTCTACTGTAATAAGAGATCTGCCTTTTAGTATCAAAGTATATCTGAAAACTACTGAACTAAAAGTTTACCTGAGTAGAAGAGTCAGGGTTTGAAAGCATTAATTTTGACCCAGTTGCCAAGACAACCATTTTCTTTCACTATATGCTTAGGTGGTGGCTCATCTGTAACCTGTCTTTTAGGATATCTGGACTCCCCAACCTCCACCCTCCGTGGCAGAAGAGTGGACAAAGTAAAAGCAACAAAAATGTTGAATACTAATATGTATGTTTAACTGTAAACTTAACAAATTATAACTTGGCAGAATATCAATTCAATATTAAATGCAGTATATTGGGGGGTGATGTCAGCAAGATGGAAGACTAGGAGGCCCCAGTGCTTGTCACCCCCCAAAAACAACATGAACAATGAATAAACAACTACATGCCAATGGAAATATCTCTAGGAGAGCTCTGGAATACAATGGGAGAGTTGCAGAAACACTGTGGAGCACAGAAACCCAGGATACTCTCATATACAAGCATAGGAAGTATTTTGCTTGTGTCATCCCATCCCTCAGCCTGGCATAGCTCAGCACCAAGAGGGGTTCGCTCTGTGCAACCTTCTCCCATGGTGGAAATGGAGAGTAGGAGGATCCAGCAGCCCTCACCACCATGACAGAAACCTGCAGCATTCACTATTGAGGACCCCTACAGTCTTCACTGACACTGAACCCAGTTGAAGGAGCTTTCCGGAGGGCATGCCACTTTGCCACCCACCTTGGAGAGGCAGCAGGCACTGCTGTAAGCCCCTCCCCTCAAAGGAGCTGCTCCTGTGCCTCATTCTCACATCCGGGGGCTAGAACCATCCCTCCCCTCTCCTGCACCCCAGATACCAATGTCACTGCTGCTGCAAGCTCACATGGACCTCAGATCCTGGTGCTACTGCCACTGCATGTACAACTGCAGGCCAGACCCAATGCCAAGCAAGATTCCCTTAGCCAGGACTTCCTTCTGCAAGGATAAAGGAAAACAGCAGGACCACAGAAATCTTCAGTGCCACAAATACCTACAGCCTAGGCCACTAAAGACCTCCTCAGTCTTCATCAATGCTGGCTTCAGCTGACAGAGCTCCACAGAGACTATGCCACTGCTGAGGCCCCACAGAGCCACCACACCTCTCCCAGCTAATGCCCTCACATACACCCATAAATGAAGGTCTTTCCCACCAAATCCAGTCCATAAAGTCTACAAGAGGTGACTGTTCCCTCCAACTTGCAGACATCCATGCAAGGCTTCAAGAAACATAAAAAATTAAGGAAATATAACACCACCAAAGGAACACAATAAGTTTTCAGTTACTAAAACTAAAGAAATAAAGATCTACAAAAATTCCTGTCAAAGAATTCAAAATTCTCTTTTAGTTTGGTGAGTTAAAAGAGAACACAGTCAACTCAATGAAATCAGAAAAGCAATACATGAACAAAACTAGAAGTTCAACAAAGAGACATCATAAAAAGGAACCAAACAGAAATGGTGGAGCTGAAAAATACAATGAGTAAAATGAAAATACAATAGAAAACTTTAACAACAGACTCAAGCAAAGAAAAAAAATTGTTAACCCAAAGACAAGTCATTTAAAATTATTCACTCAGAGGAGAAAAACGCATGAAAAAGAGTGAAGAGGGCTTCACTGGTGGCACGGTGGTTGAGAGTCCACCTGCCGATGCAGGGGATACGGGTACGTGCCCCGGTCCGGGAAGATCCCACATGCCACGGAGCGGCTGGGCCTGTGAGCCATGGCTACTGAGCCTGCGCGTCCGGAGCCTGTGCTCCGCAACGGGAGAGACCACAACAGTGAGAGGCCCGTGTACCGCAAAAAAAAAAAAAAAAATAAGAGTAAAGAAAGCCTAAGAGATTTGTGAGAAACAACCAAGTGAACCAATATAAACATTATGGGATTACCAGAAAAAGCAGAGAAAAAGAAAGGGGCAGAAAATTTATTTGAAGAAATAATGGCTTTAAATTTCCCAAATCAGAGGAGGAAAATGGACATCCAGATTCATAAAGCCCAAAGCCCAAAGGTTCCCAAGTAAGTTGAAACTAAAGAGGTTTACACTGAGAAACATTATAATTAAATTGTTAAAAGTCAAAGACAAAGGGAATTTTGAAAGCAGCAAGAGAAAAGCAATTCATAACATAAAGAGAAATGCCATAAGGCTATCCGTGGATTTCTCAGTAGAAAGCTTGCAGGTGAGGAGACTGAGATAATATTTTCAAAGTACTGAAAGAAAATACTGCCAATCAAGATTACTATACCTGGCAAAATTATCCTTTAAAATGGAGGAGAGATAAAGCATAACCAGACAAACAAAAACTGATGGAGTTTGCCACCACTAGAAGTGCCTTGTAAGAACTGAATGTGGAGGACACTATGCTAAGGAAAATAAGCCAGTTACATGTAGAATCTAAAATAAGAGAACTCATATAAGAGAGAAGAATGATGGTTGCCAGGGGCTGGAAGGAGGGGTAAATGGGGAGATGTTGGTCAAAGGGTACAAAATTTCAGTCATGCAAGATGGATAAGTTCTGTAGATCTAATGTACAACAATATGAGTATAGTTAACAATACTTTATTTTATACTTGAAATTTGCTAACAGAGTAGATTTTAAGTGG